AAGAAACCTGAAGCACAATCAGAGGAAGTCCTTCCAATTGAGAAGCTCATTGCAGAAGCATTCTCAGTGATCGACAAAGCCGTGAAAGTGGGAACATTGCACCGAAACACCGCAGCACGTCGAAAATCTCGGCTTGCCAGAAGAAAGAAAGCTGTAGAAATCCACCATGGCTGGTACACCCCAGCTTCACCAGCAGCTGCCTAATGCTCTACCCTACCCTTTTGTCTTAATGTTAATGGGCTGAGGAACTCTTCTTCTATTTTTGTATTTAGTTCGAACCTTCCTTCTATGTCTACAGTTGAGGTTTCACTCCTTTTTTCATCTGCCAAAAATGTCTAAAAAAAAAATACTTTCAGCTTAGTTTTAGATATGAAAATTTATCAACAGTATTTCAAAATACCCTTAAATTTTTTTTTTTAAATTTAATCCTTCACCTTTTTAAAAAAAAATTAAAATATACATTTCTTGTTTGCGTTAGATGAACATGACTCTCTACACTGGTATGATATTGTCTACTTTGAACATAAACTCTCATGCCTTTGCTTTAGGTTTTTTCAAAAGGCCTCAAACCAATGGAGATTATATTCTCTATATACCTCCTCTTGAACAAAGTACGCCTCTCTTTTATCGAGGCTCACAATACTTTTGTTCGACATTTAAGGATTCTATTGACATGGTTAAGTTTAGAGCATGACTTTGATACCATGTTAGATGAACACGACTTTCCACTATGGTATGATATTGTCTACCATAAGCTTTCATTAGCTTGAGGTCTTTTGGGAAGTCTAAAGCAAAGCCACGATGATATTGTAGAGAGTCGCGTTCATCTAATAGTTAGTATTTTATTTAAAAAATACTTATAAAATTTTAAGAATATTATTAAACAGCTTTCACCTTTATAATAAAAAAAAATTAAAAACTTTTTTTTTTCTCGTCACAAAAATCTTCTATCAACAACTGGCAAAATATCTAAAAACTTTAATTTGATTTGAAAAGTTTATAAGTATTTTTTAAATATTTAAATGATTATTGGTTTAGTAAAAATATTTTAATTTTTTTAAATATTTAAATATAATAATTTAAGGTTAGTAATAGAACTTTTAAAAACTTATTTTTTTAAAACTATTTTACAAAATATTATTTGAAAGTTTAAATTTAAAGGATTTTTTAAATTTATTTGAAAGTTTCAAAATATTATTTAAACTTATAAAATGAAAAAGTATTTTTCTATTAATTTTTCTTTAAAAATAAGAAAATTAAAATTCCCAAAAAAGGATAAAATAAAAGAAATTTATAGAATGTTCGTAGCATAATTGTGAAGTGGGAGGAAGTAAGTTGACGTGGCAGCATCCGAATGTACAGGTTCGGTTTCCACCACTCCCGACCCAATCCTGTCGGTTTTCTCCGGTCTCAATCACAATCTGCCGTCAGCATCCGGTTGCCGGTGCCATCCACGTGCCCCACTCACCCCCACCGTCCCTTTATTTACGTATCGCCACGTGACAAATTCCCTCGTCGTTTGACGCGCCAGTTGGGGCCCACTAGTATGAAGGAAACGGCGCGGCGGCTGGGGAAAGGGAAAGCGGTCAAAAGCCTCGTTGACTGAGCTTTGAATGGAGTCATCAGCTCAGCTTCCTTTCAATTTCTTTCCTTTTTCCAATGGCTGCACGAGTCACGTGCGTGGTGCGTGATTTACACGCGCCTAAATTATTCATATTTTTCCCCCCTATATAAACCCTCCTCTTCCCCTCAAATTCACTACCCAACAGATCCTTAAAATGGCTGCCGGCGACCAGTCCACTTCCACCGCCTCCGCCGCTGAGGCGTCCAATTCCAAAGAGATCAGGTACAGGGGCGTCAGAAAGAGGCCGTGGGGCCGCTACGCAGCGGAAATCCGGGACCCTCGGAAAAAAACCAGGGTTTGGCTAGGAACAATCAACACGGCGGAGGAGGCGGCGCGTGCATATGATACGGCGGCGCGTGAATTTAGAGGCGCCGATGCCAAAACCAACTTCCCCGTTCCGAACGGTTTCTTAACCGTCGACAACAACAATAACTTCCGTAAATCCGCTTGTAGTAGTCCCAGCCAGTGTAGCACCGTCGAGTCCACTTCCCCGTCACCGGCGCCGTCGGATCCCACCATCACTGACGTCCACGCGCCGGCCATTTCCCGCCCAATTTTCTTCTTCGACGCGTTTGCCCAAGTGGAGAAGAACAGTGACTTTCGCCGGATAGTTACCGGTGCCGGCGGATCAAGAAGCGATTCCGATTCGTCATCCGTTGTCGATTTCGACAGGACGAGAAAATCTCGGCCGTTAGATTTTGACCTGAATCTTCCGGCTGTGGAAGTTGTTTGAGGATACGTTTTCATTTTGATCTAATTTTCTAATCAAAATTAAAAAATTAAAAAGGTTAAAAAAAGGTATTAATATATATATATATATATATTTTGGAAGTTTTTAACAATTTGTCGATATGTGGATGACAAAAATTAATAAAAATCGACTATTTATTAGAGATAAAATGACCAAAATATGAGGAATCACTATTCTTCACAATGATATGATATTGTCCATTGAATATAAGTTCTCGACTTTATTTTGAGCTTTCCAAAAGTACCAAAATGGAATTACTCACATATAAATTCACGATCTTCCACTAAATTAACTAATATGAGACTCACTCCTCGTAATCTCGACATAAAATAGCCCCTAACATAATAAATTAAAATTGAAATTATTAGAACAAAAAATAAAAATAAAAAATCGGTGCGAATCTTTTAAATTTATTTATTTTAATTAAAAAGCCAAAAAAGATGAATAACGAACGAGTCCAATCTTATGATGCGTCGACGTGTCGATAAGCGGTGCCCTCGTCGGTAGGACCCATAATACGCGTGGCGTGTAACCCTTTTCTCTACGTGGCAGTTTTTAGTTGGTGCTGGATCCGGAAATGCCGGCCAATCATTTATGTCCACGTCAGTATTGGTACGGATAAGATGCGTAGGTTAGCTGTTGTGGCGGTGAGGTGTCTGAATGAGACAGAGAGTTAAAGCTGGCGCGTCGACAGATTTCAAACTAGGGCTGGGGTGGCTTTGATGGTCCTGCCACGTGTAATTTTATAATTTAATTATTTTGATTTTTCTTTTTTGAGGTGGTGGTTAAAAGAGATGGGGCGGCTTCGCGGCGTGAGGCGGCTTTAAAGCTGTATTTCTGTTGGGTGTCGTTATTTTTTAATATTTTCGGAAAATAAAAAATATAAATTTTGATTTAATTATTTTAAAATTTTGTATTAAAAATCTATAAACATGGTTGGGTTTGTTTTGGGCTTCTCAAAATATCTCATACCAATAAACAGAGTATTATTTGTTTATAAATCCACGATCATTTTTTAAATTAGTGGATGTGGGACTTTCATCATCCAACAATTGAAGTATAAAATGAACTTCGAAGGAAAAACAAACAAATCATACCTAAAATAGATTTAAATAAATTTTTAATTAATTAATTTTACCAAATGTGTTAATTTTTTTAGGTTAAATTAATACAAATATCCTTAAACGTTGCAGCACGCTGTCTAAGATATAACTTATAAATGTTACGAAGTTTTAATAATATTTTTAAAATTTTAAAATGTTAGATAAAATACTATAAAACTGTTGACACTTTGGGCAGAAAATACAGAGTTTAAAAAATACCTTTAAATTTCTAAGAGGGATTTAAAAAATGACCAGTTTTCAAAAGGTTTCATTAATCTCTTTGAAAAAAAAATTAAAAAATTAAAAAAAATCATCTTTAAATTTTTAAAAATAAAAAATAAAAAATACTTAGTATTATATTTTAAAAATAATCACGAGCTTTCAAAAGTAACATTAAAAAATTTGGATCTAATCTATAATAATCGTTCACATCTTGATGGTGAGAAATAAAATTTAAACTTAATTTAATAAAAGTAAATTGTGTTACTTACTTTTAAAACTTTAAAATTTTATGAATATTCTTAACGGATAATACCAATAATTTTTTTTTTAAGTTGAGGGATATTAATTAAACTTTTCGAAATTAGTGGTATTTTTTGAAACACGATTAAAAATTCGAAAATATTTCAAAAATAAAGTAGTGACGATTTCTATCTAAAATTAACGATAAAAATATTTCCAAGACTTAAAATTTTAAAAATATGTATATATATTTTTTTTAGAGAAAATACAAAATTTATGATTATTTTTATAATTGCAAACCATAGATTTAAATACCACTATAAATTAATTTATAATGTATCAAAATTTGTGATGAATATGATCATAAATTATCAAATAATAGGCAATTTACCCATTTAATAAATTTCAACTATCTATTAGAAACAAAATAAAATATTATAATTTCTTTTAAAAGTCAATTAAATTTTTAAAAATTTAAATATGGTAAAGAATAAAATTAAAATTTTGGTAACTCTAACCCAAATCTCATAAATTAAATAGACACAGACTTTTAATATCTATGTTAGTTGAACGTGACTCTCAACGATGGTATGATATTGTCCACTTTGAGCATAAGTTCTTCTGGCTTTGCTTTAGGCTCTCAAAAGGCCTCGTACCAATAGAGTATTCCTTGATTATAAACCTATGACCATTTCCTAAATTAACCGATGTTTGTCAACTTCTCTCTCCCAACCAATAGTTATATACTGTGAGGAGTTCTTGTTACTATTTTGTTTGCATATACAATGTATCTTTCAAAATTTCTTTCTACCCTAGTTTTCTAAAAATTTCTTCTTAAACCGAGGCTAGAGGCTCGAGCATACGTCGCTTGGCTGTAGGCGAAGTAAGAGCGAATTGGCTTAGCTTCCTTGGGGTTGAAAAGTGAGTGCAGCACAATTACAAGTCTACTGCCATCAAGAATGTTACGAGACAAGTTTCATCATCCAACCATTTATAATTTATAAATATTTTTATTGTGTATTTTTGGGAATGAAAAAAAGGCCAGGAGGCCCAATATTCAACCCACGCCCTTGTGCATCGGAACCACACCGATATCCAATGGGTCAAATCTTGCGGCTTCTTCTCACATCAACTACGGCAGAGATCGTGTCCTTTGCTTAATGGAAGATGGACGAATTTAGGGGGGAAAAAGGCGGTTACCATTTTTCTCCGGATTATACTCTCAATTTCAAGCTACTTCAACTGATTACTGAATATTTATAGGGAAGTTGTTCATTCAAGACGGCGGTGTATTCCTTTCCCCACTGTAGTTGAGGCGGAAGACGGGAGCTAAGGCGTGTGGAGTAGAGGAGGAGACCGATGGGACGGATTTTTGTTGTGGAAAGGGAAGGGAGTTCCTACAGATGCAAGTTCTGCAATACGCAGTTAGCTCTAGCCGACGATCTTGCATCTCGGGTTTGTATATATATATGGATGTCATTTTTTCTTGCGCAGACGCTGTTTAACGATTAGTTGCTTGTATTGTATGTTAGTAGAGTAATTGAAGTTTTAGATGCTCAACTATGTTAGTTCTTAGATGGAGATGAATCTTCGTGGGATTTTGATTACAATTGTTTAATGAAATTAAATTGGTTGATAATTGCTGCCGCTGGAACCGAGTTATGTTCATTATCTGCTGTTTGGAGGAATCAATTTCTCAGGGTTGGAGAATCATTGGCTCTGCCAGATCTCATAGCATTTATTTGAACAATCAGCCTTTGAGCTTGAATTTACTTTCCGCAGTCTTGTCATCTGAGATGAGAAAACGATTTCAATTGCTGTTAATAGCTATGAGGAAATAATTTAGGGAAAGATTATGGTCTTCGCATATGATTTTTGCTGAGATTTTGTTATACAAGATAGAGGAACTGTTTTTGAATTCAAGCAGCTCCATGTGTTTTATTTCTCTGAAGTTCGTCTAACTTTTTTCGCTCTTATTTGATCAGGCCTTTCATTGCCGCCGCGGTAAAGCATATCTTTTCAATAATGCGTGAGTTCTCTGTCTTTTGGTCGGAGCTGCTGTTGGTTTTTCTTTGTTGATTTACAATTCCAATTACTATGGCCTGCAGATTGGACTAATTTGTATATTAATGTTGTGGTTCGTGTAGTCTATCCACCGAACAAGGGGTCATGGTTCATGTAGCCTGTGGGTAGCCAAAACCAAGCCATATATTTTAACCCACATTTATAAGGACTTTTTCAATGTCATTGTGCAGATGCAAAACCCATCTTCGTTATTTATACAAGAATGACATTCATGATTTTTAGCTGCAAAAATGGTGGTAGAGATGTCTGTTTAATCTCTAGAGTTAGAGCAGGCTAGAGTTAGAGCAGGAATAGTTGTTGAAAGAGGATGAGGGAAGGAGAGAGATTTCTCTCGGTTCCCTGAACCCTTTTAGAGAAAGGGATTATATAAAACTAAGGTACAAAACTAGATTATTATATATATATATATATTTATATAAAATAAGTTTTGAAAACTATGTTTTAATATTGAAATTTGAAAAATTAAGGCAGTGTTATTGGATTTATTAGAATGTTTTGCATTTTATCAATAGAAATTATATTGACAAATGGTAATTATCCATTAAAAAAATTCTTAAGAAATATTTCTTTTCTAGAAAGTATATATGAAAAATAGGGAAAAATTCTCGGCAGGACACTTTATCTATAAAGAGGCAGGGATGGACACAGGGAAGTGGAAGGCTTCCCCGTTCTCGTCCCATGGACATCTCTAGTCACTTGTCAGATTTCTATTTGATTCATTTGACACCAATTTCCCACATGAGCTTAAGTTTGTCATATGTTCTAAGTTAAGCATGCTACAATCGATTTTGGATCATAACTACTGGTTAGAAGTCTAATATTAAGCATGTTTCTAACTGCATGTGCATGAACAAGAAGTTTCAGGGCCCTGACAACTGCCTATTCATTCTAAAGCAATCCAATGTTCTGGTGGCAACAAGTCTTCCTAGTTTTAGTTGAGGTTACAATAGCTACAAATAGGAACTTTGAAGCTTGTATAGAGAAGTTGCTATGAGAGCGTGTTTTGCAATAGTAAGTAGAGAGTTCTCAGAGAGTTCGTAGGTGGACATGACGAACCGACTTCTGTAAAAATTAGGGGGGAAAACACTGTTGAATGCAATCTCTTCGAATTTTGGAATTTGGCTTACTGAAGAACAAATACAAAACACATCAACTAACTGTTTTCAGTCATTTAAATTCCAAAAGTTTGAATGGGGCTGCAACAAATTGTGTACAAAATAGTAGTGTTGATGGCTTTCCATGTTTTATCATTACAAAACACTCCTGCCAGGATTAATATCACTTACACTCTTGGAGTTCTTCATATAGGATAAACTTCTTTTTGGGAGCCTTGGAAGATAGGATAATGCTCTCTGGATCCCATACTGTTGCAGACATATTTTGTTGCAAATGTGGACAAATTGTTGGGTGGAAATACGTAAGCTCTCTCTATTATCCTCCACACACAGGAAAAGAAATGCATTTGGTGATCAATATGCCAAACTTTCCTTTTTTCATCTATATAACTCATAATTTCGTTCAGGAAGCAGCGCATGAGAAGAGCCAGAAGTACAAGGAGGGGAAGTATGTTCTTGAAAGGTGAGATTCTTTTGCCTACAAGTTGTTTGACATGGTCTTTTTTTTCTTCTCAACTGTGTTTTTACTTGAATATTTTGTGCACATTTCTTGAACCAGGGGGAGGATAGTCGACGACATTGAATTCTCGACTGGCTTCTACGTAGACTCTCGGTCGAGTATAAGTGATAGCGAAGATAATTAAGGCGTGATATTCTCGTGTTATTGTATGCAGCATATCATAATAATTACCAGATGACTATGCTTAGGTTTGCTAATAATTAACAATGTCTGGACTATGTAAATGCAGAGTTATTTAGATTGGCATGCTTCCACACTTCTAGTTCATTAGTTCATTTGTTCTTTATTTCCAGTACAAGTTGCACTTTCACCAACTGATTCTCCCTTTCTAATTCTTTCGACCCATTTGACTCTGTAGCTGAGTGAATGCATCTATAGTCATATAAAGCTGCTGCAGGCACTCATATTGTGCTGCAAGTTTTTGGTCATTGATGTTGGTGAGACTTGAGCTTTAAGAATCATTAATCTATACATTTTTGAGCTTTGAGAATCATTCATTTATGTTTTTTTTTTTTTTTTTTTTTTTTGGGAAGAAGTACCTTGACCAGTTGAGTTATGTTTGACTTAACCTTTAAGATTTACTAAATTCTCGAAGACATGAGAGACTTGACTAAGAACACTTGGTTGTAGAGTAAAAGTATAGAATATCAGGGGTCCCCAAAACTCAAGAAGTTAAATTAATTTTGTTTTGTGTCCAGGTTGATTGTGGTTCATTTGAGCCATGATACCAACTTATTAATGCACAATGTTTATGCATTAAAATATGGTCGATGGATTTAATCATTGTACTATAAGTAACAACTTAGNTTTTTTTTTTTTTTTTTTTTTTTTTTTTTTTTTTTTTTTTTTTTTTTTGGGAAGAAGTACCTTGACCAGTTGAGTTATGTTTGACTTAACCTTTAAGATTTACTAAATTCTCGAAGACATGAGAGACTTGACTAAGAACACTTGGTTGTAGAGTAAAAGTATAGAATATCAGGGGTCCCCAAAACTCAAGAAGTTAAATTAATTTTGTTTTGTGTCCAGGTTGATTGTGGTTCATTTGAGCCATGATACCAACTTATTAATGCACAATGTTTATGCATTAAAATATGGTCGATGGATTTAATCATTGTACTATAAGTAACAACTTAGTTTACCATTTGTGATAATGGAATCACTCTTTTCAAGTAAAAATTTAACCAAGTTTCTTGAATACCTAGATTAATAATCTAAATAGGGGTGAGAGCGTCTTATAAAATAAAGGAAACAAAAAATCGTCAATTAATAATAATAATGCCACAATCTGCAATGCAATTGTGTCCCAAGAAAGTCATCGAGGACGATAAACTAATTTAATGAAGAGAGTAGGTTATGACCCTCACGTTGAGACAAGCAAAATGGCGACCCTCTCAAGTGGTGCCCATTCAGCCACGTGTGAGCCAATAAAGAAAAATGTTACGATCGAGAACAATGGTGCATCATCCAACACGCCCTATAATGTGTGCATTGAAGAGGAGACGAAACGAAGCTCCAACACACCCTATAATGTGTGCATTGAAGGAGAAACGAGCATAAGCAAGATAGGGACAACAACTAGACGAGCATCACCTATAAGCATGTTGAAGGGCCCCGGTAAGATCCCGAACGAACGTCAAAATTTCAAAGGAAATTTGGGCACACTTAAGATTTATAAATTTTAAATTGTATGGTCTAATTACTTACAAAATTAAATAAAGTTTTTGTTGAGACAAAAAAAAAAAGAAAAAAGAAAAAAACATACGTTAGTTGTGATATCCACGAATTTCGAAAGATTTTTGAGACAAATTGTGAAAGACGCGGGTTGGCGACGAAGAAGGAACAGACCTCTCTCCAGTTCGCGATGAGATCCTCTCCGAAAACAGAGCAAACCCTGCATTAACCTCCAACCCTAATTCCCCATTCTCCTTCTTTTGCTTTCGATTTCCCCCGTTTTTATCTGTTTTTCTTTCTCCGCCGTGCTTGTTTCAGGTTCAATCCCGATGGGGAAAGCCTCTTCTTCTCGCAAGAAGGAGCGTTCCAAGACTTCTTCATCCCAGGTACTTCTTTTCCTCTCTCTCTCTCTCTCGTTGAATCTTCTTTTTTCCTTGATATGTCAACTGAGGTTGCCTTAATTTTGTTTAATGTTCTGTTTGGTCGCTGGGCGATGTTCGAAGATTTGGCTGTAATTTGGCATGTGTTTTGATGAATATATCGGGGAAATCTTCTCCTTATCGATTTATGTGCTTGAATTTTAAGTTGATGTGAACGAATTCTTCTTCTTCTTCTTCTTCGTATTGTTGTCGTGGTTATGGTTAGAGATATGGATGTTCTCTCCTTCTTTCCGCCTTTACCTCATATAAGTTTGTTTTGATGCCGATGCGAATCTCCTTTGCGTCCTTTTTTTTTTGTGTTGTTTTATTTTTTTGGTTCGAATCATGAAGAGAAGTAGGAGAAAGAGTAAGAGTAGTAGGAGATTGAAGTCCAAGAAGCTGCGGTATCGCCACGATTCTCCTTCTTGCTCTGACACTGATTTTGAAAGTTCAACTTCAGTGTCTTCTTCTAGCTCGGAGGATGACAAAAAAGTGAGAAGATCTCGATCCAAGACGCGAAAGAATTCGAAGCCTAGTAAAAAGAGATCCAAGAAGCAATCTCATGACCATCAAAGTAGGGAATGCTCTCCTCATCCCAGAAAGAGGAAGCATTCAAAGAGAAGCGACAGATATGAGGCTAAGAAGACCAACAAAAAGAAGCGTAGAAGAGATGCGAGTGTTGGTGCCACAAATAGTGACTCTCTGGGCCGCTCTACTTGTGGAGATGGAAGTTCAACCAGCAGTGATAGTGAAATTGATAGGCGTAGGGGAAGGTCTGGAAAGAGGAAAAGAAATATGGTGAAGACTGAAGGAAGAAGATACAGGTCAAAGAGCCGTTCACCATGCTCTTTATGTAGTGACGGTAGTGATTTTCAGAATGAGGTTGAGGATGACAGTTATGTCGAAAACAGCTGTAGACGACTAAAATCCATAATTGTTGTAGTAGGGGAGGAAGATGAATTAAAGACTTTTGTTGGGAATGAACAACAAGAAGCGGTCACGCATCAGCTTGATGATAACCACCCTTCGTTCGGGGATATGAATAGTAAGGATGGGACGAGTAAAAGAGAATTAGACTATGTTATATCTAAAGAGGCACCAGAGGTAGAAAGCAAAAACAAAATAGTTACACCTGACAATAGGAACTCTCTGATTCTAAACGATGATGGAGTTCGAAATGAGGGAAGCAACAAAAACCATGGAGGAGTAACTAATGATCATTCTTTAGATGAAAGAAAGAATGGCTGTTCTGGAAATACCGAAAGCATAAATTGTATCGATTTAGAGTCAATTTTAAGGCAGAAGGCCCTGGAAAACCTTAGAAAGTTCAAAGGGGTTTCCCCAAGGAATGTGGAAATTATTGCTAATTGCAAAGTTGAGAATAATAATGATGCAAAGCAATTGATTTCCCCAGTCTCTAAGTCAGTTCATGTGACATTTCCTAGGGATGATGCCGAAATAAATGTTAAAGGGTTCTCTAGACAAGACGGAGGGGATGCGGTAAATTCAATGATAGTTAAGGGGAATGGTTTTAAGTCTACAGATGCAATAGATACAGCAGTTGCATCTATGCATGATCCTGTCTGTTCTTCACAGAATCTTGGTAAAATTTCCAATGGAAGTAATGGTATGAATGAACCGAAGCAGGATATTTCTTCATTAGACCAAGAGGTTATAAATGATAATATTTGCCTCAAGGCAGATGCAGATATTTATTCTACAACTAACAGAAGCAATTTGGTTATTGCAGCTTTTAGGCCCGAGTCAAAAGTTGATTCTTTTATAAAGAAGGCATCTGTTGATCAGGAATGTATCCAAACAAAGTCATCTATATCTGACATTGTCGTAGACGAAACTGCTCAAACCCAGACCCAGATGACGAATAATGACGATCAAAATATCCGTAATGGTTTTGGTTCTTCAGCTTATAAGTCTTCTTCTTCCCTTAACCCTATTTCAGGAGAAAATAGGTTGGACAAGTCCAGACAGGAGAGTGGGGAAGGCTCACAATTTGAACAGAAAACCATGTCTGTGATGCGGGGTGGTGAAATGGTGCAGGTGAGGATATTGAATACTGACTAAATTTATATAGTCAGCTGTGAGTCTAATGATGCTAGTTTATTTAGAACTTCTTAGCATGGATCTGCAATTATTCATTTCAGGTGAACTACAAGGTCTATATCCCGAAGAGAGCGCCCGCCTTGACTAGGAGACAACTCAAGCGGTAATGTAAGATCCCTGATTTTGCAGCCATGTAGGAAGATCCTGTTGCTTGCCATTGAAAAGATTATAAAGTTCCGGAAGTGTTTTATTGAAAAGATTATAAAGTTCCGGAAGTGTTTTATCACTCACTTCCTATGCCAAGGATCTATAAGCCTTAAAACATGAACAATAACTAGTGCAGTCAATTGTTAATATTTTTGTCAACTTCTCATCGCAATGATCAAACTCTCATGTTTACAAAGCCTTCTTATTTAGTTTAGGCTGTGATGCCAAAACCTTGTATATGTTAGTTTATGATCATAATTATTTTCACATTCTATTCCATCATGTTATTGTGAATAAACAAAACCCTCTAGGTTGGATTGGAGCAACTTACTAAGAACCTTGCCATTGTCAAAAACATTTAGAATCTGAAACAGCAAGTTTCAAGTCAGGAAAGATTGAACTTAGATGACTTGGTAGACAAAAATCAAGATTACTATTTTCAGATTATTCTTACAAACACGAGATTTAAATATTCAGATTACATTGAGTTACAGTTACAGTATGGCTAAGACTCAAAACGTTCTTGTTCTTGTTCTTGTCCAATTGTCCAATTATAAACTATGCATATGATCCATCTGGTTGAAGCATGGGAGAAGGATTGGATCTTGTTCATAACTTCACATGATATTCAGCTTTCAAGGAACTAGTTGATTGCAGCATTTCGCGCTTAAGTTAAGTCGTCCTACTTGAAGAAAACCTGGTTGTTACCTGATCCTAGCAGCCTCACGAGGGTGAAAACAAGATCAGAAAAGGTTTGTTTTATAAGAAACAATTTCATGATATTATATCCATTGTCAAATTAGCAGGTCTGCAGAAATTGCAGGGCTTACCTGAGATTTACGAGATGTTCGTTGTTCAGCTGCTTCTATCAAATTAGTCATTCTTCTGTGAAAGTTATGGAAATAATTGAGTGAGACTGTCTTAGCTGCTAGAAAGCAGCCTTTTCTTTCTGCCAGTCACACAGGCCCAATCATCCATAGTTGATACTGATATGTCTTCCAAGTATTGCGAATACCGTTCTATAATAGCTGGAACCTGTAAATGTACAACCAAACAAAGTAAATGGTAGTCCACCGTAAGTATATATTCTCTATTTTGACCTGTTACGTATTGTCGTCAACCTCGGTTTTAAAACGCATTTACTATAGAGAGATTTTCACACTCTTGTAAAGAATGTTTCGTTCCTCTCTTCAATCGATATGAGATCTCACAATCCACCCCCCCTTAGAGGCTTAGCGTCCTCGCTGGCACCATGCGGCACACCGCATGGTGTTTGGCTCTGATACCAATTGTAACAACCCAAGCCGTAGATATTGTCTACTGTGGTCTGTTACGTATCGTCATCAGTCTCACGTTTTTAAAACGTGTTTACTATAGAAAGGTTTCCACATCCTTATAAAGAACGCTTCGTTCCCCTCTCCAACCGATGTGGGATCTCACACAGACTAATTTCATAGCAGGAAAAAGAAGAAAAGAAATACTTTAACCCTCAATCAAATTGGCAGTTTCTGAAATTTGGTTTTTCTAGCTTAGAACAGATGATAGTCCTAGAACATACCTGCTCGGATAGAATACCAGAGAGACCAACGACTGCCTCAGGCTTGGCGTAAGAGACAACATGATGAGCCAAATCCAGCAGAGGATTTAGAAGAATATTAGCAATGACGATGTCAAAGTTCTCCTTTCCAGATATAAACGTTTCACTAAATTTATACTCTGCAATATCACTAGGAACCAAATGAAGTTGCAATTTTTCGGGTTCTATACTGTTCAGAGCAGCATTGTTCTGTGCAGATTCAATGGCTTTCGGGTCTACATCAATTCCAGTAGATAAGGCAGCCCCAAACTGCAATTGCAAGCGTATATCAAGTTAAATAATGAATATCAAGTCGCATGCAGAGAAATATAACACCTCTAGAGGGTGTCTCTAGATGTGTACGGACATGAATGCATGCATACAACCAACTCAGAGTTAACCTCTGGCTAATTAGATGAATACCACAATTTTCTACCAAGTGTTCAATATCACCAAAAGGCAGTACTGTAGCCCCATCTTTTGCAATCGATCACTCAGCTCCCAGTAGAAACCCACTGCTCGAAAAGGGTTAGAGTTGGTCCGAACTCTAGAAAGGAGGAACTTGTACCCCCAAGTGTCGAGACAAGCTCTGGAAAGGACGAACCTTAGGTTCCTAACTCTCCAAAGCTCTAACAGATCAAAGTTAGGACGAACTTTAGGTTTCTAAGCCACGATAGCCACCGTTTCAGAACACTCGAGGAGAATTCTAGAGAATCACTCATAGAGCTTGGGAACCTAAAACCAAGAATCCCTTCTTCATGGCAGGTCATTGGCTAAAAATGATAGAAAGGAGGCCAACGACATGGAAATTCTGTAGGTACATAGATTTATTCACTAACAATCTTCTTTTAAAAGACTCCAAGCCGCCAGAGCCTTTTTCTTTCCCAACAATCATGAAGAGCACATATGGTATTGGTATGAGCTTAGTGGAAACATTTTGGACATTGTACCTTGAGTGATGCAATTGCAAGAACGCCAGATCCTGTGCCATAGTCCAAGAAATATTCCCCTCCTTTCACTAAGCTGTGGAGCAGTAGTAGACACAACTTCGTAGTTGGGTGTTCCCCTGTTCCAAATGCCAATCCAGGATGTAGAACAATATTTGTCGCATGGACATCCTGTTCAAATAAAGGAATGTGTAAATTCTATCCTAAACAAGATGATATTACATGTACCCTCCCCGCCCCTAATATGAACCATGAAACAAACTATATGTATAGACAAGTGTAGAAAGCTTAAAAGAGAATGCTCAGATCATTATACCGGGGGAGTTGTCCACTCGGGCACTATCCAAAGTCCCTCAGTAACCTTAACTGGATGAAATGATTCCTGCAATGCAAGACAACAATTGTGTTTAAGAGGTAAATAAATTTGGAATGTGGAGCTTGTGTTAGCAATGAACAGACAGGTTAAAAACAAACCTGGGATTTCTTTAACCAATCATGTTGTTCACCAATTGTAACTTCGTAGGAAGGTAAGTCCTTCAAGCCTACAGAATCAGCTGCATATGAGATGCATTTACTTACATCTTCACCATCAGGGAATATTGTGTCAACATATATCTGCACAAAGCATATTAGTCATTACATTTTAACTGTCGGGAACAAAGTATCAACATATTATATCTGCCATAGTAATTTATGTCTTCTACATATCCACTCCTAACTACAAACATAGCATCCTGATCAGCATCACATGGATATAGGAAAAGGGGTAGAGTTGGGACCGGACTGTAAGAGCTCAAGCCCACCGCTAGCAGATATTGTCCTCTTTAGGCTTTCCCTTTCGGGTTTCCTCTCAAGGTTTTTAAAATACATTTTCTAGGGAGAGGTTTCCACACTCTTATAAAGAATGTTTTGTTCTCCTCCTCAACCGATGTGGGATCTCAAAATCCACTCCCCTTCGAGGCCAATGTCCTCACTAACACTCGTTCCCTTCTCCAAGGGATGTGGGACCCTCAATCCACCCCCTTTAGGGCCTAGCGTCCTTGCTGGCACACCGCCTTTTGTCTACCCCCTTCGGTGTTCAGCCTCCTCATTGGCATATCGACCCATGTCTAGCTCTGATACCATTTGTAACAGCCCAAACCCACCGCTAACAGATATTTCCTGTTTGGGTTTTCCCTTTCGGGCTTCCCTCAAGATTTTTAAAACGCATCAGCTAGGGAGAGGTTTCCACATCCTTATAAAGAATGTTTCATTCTCCTCTCCAACCGATGTGGGATCTCACATCGACGGTAACTTTTATGGGTTTGTCTGGAAAGGAATTAAAGAGCATATTAAAGTTATCAGATGCAGCCTCAATCAATTACAAGCAATCCAGTACAAATTTACTGAACTGTGTCCAGAAATCTTCTCATAATCAGGTGTCACTAAGGTGCAATGGAACCAGTGATAGTAATGAAGATTGTAAAGCATCACAAATCAAGTAAGGGGTAGGAAAGCCACCTCGTGAGAGCTACCAGATACATCGTCTTCATCAACACAAGTAGAACTCGCACCAAAACTCAGCAGAGCTTCTGAAAGCAAATCCTGCCCAACAGAAAAACAAAGATACCACAAAGTTTCCTCTTTAGATCAAGTAGATGAAGCTTTAATTGCTCCAGCAATCCTGCAAGCCCCTCATTCGTTCTACATTTCTAGTAATTATGTTCTACAATATGACTAATCCATCCAAGTTCTAGTTGAATTTCTCTAAACTAAAAGTGCTTCAATTCTCATAAAAGAATTAAATCAAAACAAAAACACTGATACCCTCAATTAGTTCATCACCCAAAACACAAAGGCCACAATGAAACAAACAAAATCGAAGCCGGAATTGAATCTCACCACGATATCTTTCCGGCACCGGATGCGTACAGATAGATACTTCTCAGATGTGTAATCGGAAGAGGAAAGGGAGGAAGAAGAAGAAGAGAAATGTGTAATAAGTGAAGAGGAAGTTAGGAGCTGTGTTCTTTTATGAATGGTGGAAGAGAAGGGGGAAGGAATAGCACGAGAGAAAGGAAATACGGGAATGCGAATGCCTGAGGCGAAACAGTGGGAAAAGTTCTTGACGTATTTTCCGGCGGTGACCGCCATTGATTTGGTCTCTTTGCTGCTCTGGTTTTGGAGGTAAAAGATGAACGGCCACCGTCTCCGCTTCACTTGTTAAGTCTAATCTACCGGAGGTTTTGGTTTCCATTCTATTTGACATATGTGCGCTATTTTTCTTAATTTCATTAAATTTTTTAAATTTTCAATGATATCCTTCTAAAAAAAAATATCATTAAACTAAAAATAATAATAAAAAAAAAGTTTTTAAGTGCTTTTTCTATAATTTAGTCTTTAATTTAATATATTTTTAAAAATTTTCATCATTATTTATTATTTATTAACATTTAAAGTCTACCGAAGATTTGGACTCCGATACTCATAGTTTGGGATGATAGACTCGATTATTGGTTCATGGTAATAATGTAGCCTACCCGCATCTCATCTTGTTTTAGTCTCACCTAGGATGGTGTACACTCGTTGCAACTAGCTTTCATCGAGCAATATTGAGAATGTGACTAATCCAATGTTAGAAATCACAACTCTCCACAATATTATGATACTGATCACTTTGAACATAAACTCTCGTGACGTTGTACTTATAAACTCATGATTTTCTTCTTAATTAGTCGATGTGAAACTACTTTCAATATTCCTCAACATCCAACACGTTTCATCATCGAATTGATCAATCTATTACAAAAAAAACTTATCTTTACCAATAACATGACTCAAATAGCTCCGGCTCATATCAAGTTTACGAGTCACCAAATTAACATTATCGTTCAAGAATATAGAGACATTCAATCTCAAGGTGTCTAGGATTGAAATCTAATTGAACAAAGAAAGAACAAATTTGTTTTTCTTGGGTCAAAAGAACCCAATTGGCCGGAGTCCGGGCCCGCCGGGAACCGATTGGCGGGAGGGAGGATAAAGCATCACCCGCCTCCATCGCTCTGCAACCAAATAAAACAACAATCTTCAACCATTATATATGACCCTTTTGTCTCTTCTACTGATCCCAAATCCGTGTTTTTTGTTATTGTGATCAGGAATGAGTTTCTCATCCAATCCACTCTCCCTCAGCGTTCCGGACGCCGCCTTCGATTCATGGCTTCGCGATTCCGGCTACCTCGAGATTCTCGATCAACGCACCTCCGACCTCCACCGCCATTCCTCCGCCACTGCAGCCACTGCCCCCACCAGACCCACCCCCATCGCCGTCGCTCCTTTAGCCACAGGTTTCTTCATCTCCTTCTTCTCTCGTATCGGAACCCTTCTCTCCGTTTTCACTCTTAACCCCTTTGCCAAGCTCTCTGCTGCTGATTTTGCCGGCCCGACACCCTCCTGGACTTCCGGATTTGTTGGGTTTTTTGAATCGTACTCGTTTCCTTCCTCGCCGGCTCAAGCTCGTCTCAGAGTCCACGAGAACGCCAAACGCTATGCTCGCAATTACGCATCCTTATTTGTTCTCTTTTTTGTCTGCACGCTGTATGTTCATCTCGTTCTGTCCTTCGTTATTTGTGTTTCCCATTTATTTGGAAGGAATGAACATAGAAATTGTTGGGTAGAGAAGAGATTTATGGCAATTTCCCGACCTTTATTTTAGCAAATTCTTCTTGATGTTTATGTTCCGTAGTGGATGATTTCAGGTACCAGATGCCTCTTGCTCTTCTTGGATTAGTATCATGTTTAGCACTTTGGGACATTGTTAAATTTTGTGGTGATAGATGGGGATTGGACCAATATCCAGTTGTTTGGCAGTGTTTGGTTCGCATTGCTCAATGTGGTAAGTTATTGACGATTTAAAACTGTGTTTGTTTGCACAACTGAGATGTTCATCCCAATTCTTATCCTTGAACAAGTCTTGATTTGTTGTTAATCTTTTTCATTGCTGCTTGATGAATGGTTAGTGTTTTGTCTGTTCTATTTGGTTGAGATTACAAGCTCTAAGGCTATCGTTTTCTCGATTCAAGATGACCGAGAACTTTGGCTCGGTTGTCCTGAGTTCTTGAAATGGAGCCAAGGCCATGTTTTTGGTCATGTGTGTACTGCAAGTGTAATTGTTCAAGCCTACTGCTAGTAGGTATTGTCCTCTTTGGGCTTTTTCTTTTGGATTTTCCTTCAAGGTTTTCAAAACACGTCTCCTAGGGAGAGGTTTCCACACCCTTATAAAGAATGCTCCGTTCCCCTCTCCAACCAATGTGGGATCTCACAATCCACCCCCTCTCGGGACTTAGTGTCCTCGCTAGCACATTGCCGAGTGTCCACCTCCCCTTCAGGGCTCAACTTCCTCGCTAGCATACCGCTTGGAGTATGACTCTGATCCCATTTGTAACAGCCCAAGCCCATCACTAGTAAATACTGTCCTCTTTGAGCTTTCCCTTTCAGGCTTCTCCTCAAGGTTTTTAAAACACTTCTGTTAGGGAGAGGTTTCTACACTCTTATAAAGAATGCTCCTCTCCAACCGATGTGTGATCTCGCATGTTTGATCCTCGAAAATTTTTAGGTAGTACTACAAATTGCTATTTGGAACCTTTGGGGTTCTTTGTTTTGTTGGATCCCGCTGCATGCATTTATCAATCAATTCCTTGTTAATTACCATGCTCAAGATCACAATCATTTGAACTGCTATTGTTAGTTAATTACACAGCAATCTTTTTTACCCCATTCTTTCTTCCAAATACTTAAACAAATATAATGTTCTGCAGTGACTGTCATCATCCTTTTATTTTCCAACTTTCAAATGGCAATCTTCTGTGCACTTGGCGTTGGATATACAGGTGACTACACAACATTTCTAGCCTCTGCTACAAAGTTCATCATAACCAGTTGTTCTAATCGTTTGATATCTCGACAGGCATGATTTTGCACGCTGCATTTCGGAAGCTAACTCTCACGAGGCCCCCGTCTTCCATAAATCGAAAATAGCCCATTACAGGTACGATATTTATACACTCCTCTACGTAATTATGTTCAAGTAAGGTACCAACATCTGATTCTATGATAAGCCTGAAAAGTGCTGGTAATGCTGATTGCTTGAAAGCAGTCCTTTGCTGTAAAATTCATGTTATGGCAATGGGGATCTCTGACCATCCTATTGCCTAAGAGTTACATGGTTTCATCTTCTTGTGTTAGAGGGTAGACCCAAGTTACAAGCCAAGCCCAAATCATGTTTTAGTTAGTTTATTCACTTATTTGTTGAATTTATGTATGGTTAGTTTGTAGGTTGTACTATTATTACATGAAATTTTGTTCTAGCTAATGATTTGTACTACAAATTTAGCATTTTGTACTCAAATTTTGTATTAATGAGAGTTCATCAGATTTTAGATGGAGAAAGCTCTGATTCTTCATGTAATATCATTGAAAACCTCAAGTTTGTGTCTTGGTTGCATGTTAATTGTATAGTCTGCACCTTCTTTTGTTAAAGAGGGCTATGATGCAGAAGAATATGCTGCATTTTGGGAGTGTTGAACAATTTAAGCATATAGAAGCTCACGTTACTTTAAAGGCAACTCTTACCAAGTTTGTGATTTTCGCAGTCTTCTAATCTTTAGTTGAATGGTTATGTCGATGCTGCTAGACAACTAGAGGCATATAACTGATATGATATCAAATGACATGATATCAATTTCAATTGTAAGTATTAGGTTAGACACGGATTTAAGATTAATGCCTCTCTCTCCTTTTTGCTTGCGGCCTGCGGGGGATGACTGAGCTTCCTAGATCTGCATCAGCGAGCGAGAGGATACATACCTCCTCCATATTTTTTAAATGGGCACGACTCGGATACTGCATGCAAGAAGTATAATAGTTTACTGAACATCGACTTAGATTGTCGTGCAATGTTCTTGATATAAAGAACAAGTTTCTTGTCAAACATCTCACAACATAAGGATTAATCTTATTTGAATGTTCTTTGCATGCAACTCAACTCATGAATTATTAGAGTCAGTATCAACACTGATGGGGCTCATGCCTAGGAAAATTTCAAAAATGGTATTCATCATTCTCTTCGTACAACCATTGACACTAGACAACGTATGAAGTATGAAGTACGATTTCAAGAGTCGGTTGAAATATGATAATTTGCTTTATCTGGATTTTCCCAAGTACTTTTCCTCAATAATTACATTCAAAGACTAAATTTCATCCCACTCTACATTTTAAAAAATTAAAAATAATTTGGTGTGCATATTTATAGATATGTAAATTACATCCCAAAGTTCTTTGTTCTTCACTCATAAATTCACCTAAAGCTAATGAAAATAGTAGTAGCATCAACACCATTGATGTGCAAATATGTTTCGACATTCAAGTTACATCTACAAACGAGTTCGAGCATTCTGTAATAGATATGACATAACTTTTCATACTAAAGAACGATAGTTTGATCTCAGAACTCAAAAAGAAGTACGATCCACAAATTGTTCAAACCTCCGCTGTTCACAGCATTTCAAACGCAACTATTTATCAATCTCAGATTATAATAATATAACAAATGTGAATGCAATGAATAGCAAGCACCCGTATACAAAGAAATGCTGCTAGCAAAACAAAAATTTCATCAGGAAAAATCACAATTAATAAATAATACACCGTTTCTTACAGCGACGTATGTACATCAACTCAAATAATGCAGTGTCAAGAATAAAAAATATCAAACAAATACACACAAGTTTTCTCCCTTTTAAGCTGGACTCAGATCCCTCGACACCTGACCTTGCCATCTGATCAACAAACCAATGCAATTTAGCTTAACAATGCATCACGTCTGCCCTTAAAGAATTTACAGAAAAAGAAATGATCCTTCTAACGTTATGCTTATTTTGTTTTAATCCTAAAACTTTCAAATCTTAGATTTCTGTAACTTGTTTAAACAGATATAAACAAAGGTTTTATCTCACGTCATGTTTCTAGAATTATCTATGCTGGAAATTCTAAATACATAAACAAGTGCATGAACATAGACGAGGAGGCTAAAAGAGATGGATGATGGATGAGCTGAAGATTCCCTAGTCAAATTGAACTATCTTAAAACAAACCTGGAGAGTAAAAATCTAGCAAGCGAGCTCAAATTAGAATTTGAATGAAGTTCCCTGTTCGGTTGCCTTTTGCTGCTATCAGAATCCGTGACATTTTGTGTAACTTCAGGAACTGTCTTTGCCTTGGTGAATATGCGAGTTGCCAAGTCTTGTAAATCCTTCAATGAAGATTCCTCGGAACTGCAGAGATGTTTCTTTGAGTTTGAGAGTTAAGGGAGTAAATTAGAAAAGTAAAAGAACAAACATACCTGGCCAATTTCTGGAGCAACTTGGTAACAAGAACCTCACATGATCCAGGTTTTCGGTGTTCCATACTTATAAGAGCATTAATTACAGTACGGGCAGGCGATCCTTCCGAATCATCTACAACTACCTGAGATGACAATGTGTAGAGTAGGTTGCACTATTGGTACATATGAACTAAGAAAACACGTCATTGAATAAATAGAAAAATATCGTGCACGTTGGTTATCATGAAAGGCCTATCTGGAGATGAGAATATTGAGAGGCCAATGGATAAGGAGATGAAAGAAGAGAATGAATCCAAGTTGGATAAGTACGTAGTCATGAAGTCAGTTATAGCTAGTGGGGTAAAGAGTAAAATGAGTAAGTTTGTTAAAACATGGGATAATCAATTGTTGAGAAAATAAATAAAAATAGGAGGAAAATGAGACTGAGACGGGAGATTCGAGAGATTCGAGACACAAATTTCTCAATAAGCATCGTGTTTCTCTTTTTGTTGGAAGTAAAACTAATTTAGAGTATAGAATCTTTGTAGACATAGGATTGGTCAAACAACAGAAAAGAGAGAAATATAAGGTAAGCTTTAGCTATTCCCACATTCTAATATAAATGGATAAAACAGAGACCGAGAGAGCATAACAAGATGGAAACACTTCACAAAAGTACCATGCAGCTGTAGAAGGTACCTTTAATGCAGACAAATTATTAGATCACTGGACTTACAAACTGAAATCGGCTTTAAACGTACCTCTTTCAAGGATGACATAAACAAAACTGATAATGGTGCAGAAGACGACACTACTTTTCTACTTTCTTCATCGTCAATCGGTAGAGATGGTTTTGCCAATGCTTTTGGTGCATCAAAGAATTCACGAGAATGCCTGGAGAAATTATCGATATCAGGCAGCAGTCCGACATTCTGTGGAGAAAAATTTATTCTGGCAATTACTAAGATGTACCTTGAAGAGTCAGAGCTACTCACTGTTTGCTCTGTTTTCCTACTTTCCTGCCTGTCGTTGCGTTTAGTGAGAGCTGGTCTATCCCTTACATTAGATTTCTTCAATCCTGCTTGCATTGCAGCCTTTGCCTACAATCATCACAGTGAACATGCCCAGTAATTGCACAGCACTAGAGCATATTTTGATTTGCGGTAGTAGGAACAAACGAATTATTATATTGTAGGAAATAAATTTAAATTCTATTATAAAACAAAAATGCTAAATAAAATGAGTGAGGACTGCAATCCAAAATATATGTATCTTAAAACTTCAACAAAAGAACTAAAAGAATACTCATGGCAGTCTAAAAGATGCATGTTCCCGACTTGACTTTAAAATAAGTAGCAATATAATAAAACCAATAGTAACTGCTACTTGAATCATGATAAGAACATGAATCAGAAGACTTAAAAGCAACCAACCTCCGCGAGGTTTGATGCACTATCTTCAGGAGGCAAACTTGAATTCCTTTCTTGAATTCCAAATCTGGATTTTGGAGTCCGAGGAGACTCAGAACCATCCCGTTGACCACGCATAACAACAGTACCACCATAAGATGTGTCCTCAAAATATGCCTGTATGCTTCCAGACTGCATCGCATCATTGATTTCATAAACAAATAAGCATAGAAAAGCTCAAAACAATCAAGAGCATCGCTATATTTAAGATAATTCTACCGGATTGCTTTCATTATGAAATTGAGTAGATGCTTGAGGTCCTCTGGGAGACCGGACCACAATGGTTCCTGAACCGCTTACAGATAACTCTTCCTGGACATTGCCCATTGAAGAAAAAAAGAAGAGAAAAAAAGAAGTATAAGTTAACATTATCCACAACCAATTTTCGGGCTGTCGTAAATAGATAAATAAACAGCCATAATATTCAATCATGCCGTTGCGATTATTTACTCTTTTGGCAGGTTTCCGTACTAAACTTGGCTGCAATAGCAAGGATAATTAGAACTTCTGGAACAAGTGAAAGTCCATGAAGCCTTGTTATTGCAGCCAAATTTACTTCGTAAGCCTACAATTGCACAGATGATTATATTCATTGTCAAGCTTTTTGCTCAATTCTTCTTATTATAAAGGAGATATCATTGAAGTCAAATCCTTATAATGCACTAATTTGTAAACTTCTGGGACAAGTGAAAGTCCTTGAAGTCATAAGTATTGTTGTCAAGCAGGCTAATTCTAATAATCTAGTTGATTGACAAACAAGCAAATGTGATTGTAAAAGCATTTGTAGCTAAGAGAAATGGAGTGAGGAGAATTTACATCTTCACTATCATCCCCCATATTGAATGAATCTTTAGCATTTTTTGCTATGTCGCGTGGTGCATTTCCAGATGCAGCTTGCCAGTGACCACTCTCTGCAGCTCTACTAGGTGCAGCCTGACCATAAGGAATTTCTGGTTTTCGTTCCCTAATTTGAGGTGGTTTTACTAAACTTCGAACAGTACCTGTACTATGTGGACCCCCAATACTAAAGTCCCATCCAGCATTCTTCGGAGCTTTACTCTGGTTGCTGCAATTTTAAGTAGTCAGAACTCAATAGCTCAATGAGTAATAGGTCGTTTAGCATTAACAACGTTCGGTGCTTTTTGCTACAGGAAACTTTGATCTTTGGTTTTACCCACCTGGCACGAACAGTTTCCTCTCTTAAATTTCTTGAAACTTTCACAGTGTCTGATGATTCACCTATAGTTCTAGGACCATTTGTTGGTGATTCTTCATCGTCCTTTATTTGGTACTTCGGACGTTCTCTATCAATATCAACAAATAAGATCACTGATAAATCACCTTATACAAAGACATCCTTATACTATTCGGCTTTTCCTGATTCTTCAGGTGCATTAACACATAAATGTAGGAACTATGGCCAATAAATTAGGAAATTATGGAGTACAAAGTCAAAAGGAAGACCAAAATCCATATCCGTGCCTATGAACTGAGAAAGAGTAATCATAGTGATGAAAGAGAAAAAGAATAATAATATGACAACACAAAGATCATAAAACTACCATATAAAAGTAATAGAAATTCAAGTATCCTGACAAACCTTATTCTCTCCAGAAGCCTAGGACTCTTCCTGGCATTCTTAATGAATCGATGCTTCAGAAGCTCTTTGGCACTAGGTCTCTGAAATTAAAAGAGCAAAAGATGCATAAAACTGATTCACAAACAAAAAGAGATATATCCGCACATCATAAAAATCGTAAATTCAAAAGGCAGGAAACATGAACAATTTGAATGCTTGCGTCAAGTTTGAACCAGAGGCAATTACAAAAAAATAAAAAAATAAAAAAAAATCACATAAATAGAAGGAAGAGCATGTACTTTAGATAGAACAGATAAAAGATGAATTGCCAGGAAATGAAATGATCAATATAAATTCTGCGAACCTTAAAAATAATGTAAGCATGCCCCAACTTTACATGCGTTTTAACAAACTCCAGGTGCTCACCTTTAAGTAGCTCCTAATTTCTTATAATGACTCTTGAAAAAAGATAAACAAAAACAAAATCCTGTGAATCCCTACCATGATCAACCAATTGCAATACATTGTCCTATCAAATAAGTACCTAAAAAAACCACTATACGATGCACACTGTATTATTAATGCTCAGTTTTCAGTTTCACAGAAACACTAATTTGTGGTTCATAATCATTTGAACTTAAACAACATATTTGATAAATATATATTCCACAGATTAAAAAGAATTCAACTAAAACACAGAACCAGTGCACAGGAGAACAATGTTTTACCTCAGCAGGTATTTTCTTCAGACAAAGTGACACTAATTCTTTCATAGGTCGAGAAAAATGTTCATCCAACTGTCACACATAAAAGCTAATATGTCATGAAAAATGACAATGCACCATTTCATATTTCATTGTCATGAAAAGTGCCGAGTACAGGGTTATAAAGTGAACCTGAGGTGGACTTTCTCGAGGTATGATAAAAAGAACTCTCATGGGATGAAGATCAGAAAGTGGAGGCTCCCCTTTTGCCATTTCAATAGCAGTGATTCCTAGGGACCAGATGTCAGCCTGCATCAAGTAAAATGTGATGGGATTGCATGAGTGCTCTAGATATGAGAATTAGAAACATAGTGAATGCAGCTTCAAGTATTGAGAAGTGTGGATATCTTAGAACCAATCAAAACCATCAAAATGCCAAAAGATGGTACCACGTAAATACCTTCTCATTGTATCCGTCAGAATTCTGAATTACCTCTGGCGCCATCCAGAATGGAGTTCCTACAAATGTCTGTGGTCAACAAATCAGTGATAGGTAGGTAACACATAAAATTCAGAAGATCCTTTCCAATAGCATTAGATGATGGGTAAAGAAAAAAAATCCCTCCAGAATAATAACAATTCAGCAAAAGTTTACACATTGAAAACAAACAAGAAAGCAAGTGTTAACAAGTAAAATTTTACAAACAGAAAGTATTTACCAAAAACTGTCATGTACTTTTGAAAATGATTATAAGAAAATAATTTATGGATCTAACAAAGGAAGGATACAGCAGGAGCCGAAGGAGCTAAACTTCTCCCGACAACCAACCAACCAACCAAGGGTGTTAAAAAGTCTAATTGGGCAAAATTACAAAACTCCAATAACGTGGCGAAAAGAACAGAATCATAATGAACAAAATCCAATATTTCACATAATACTCTACCTTTCTCCTTGATATTGTCCTTGTTAATTGGGCAGAAACACCAAAATCTGCAACCTGTAGGGATTAAACGTTTAGCCTTTTAAAGCAAAGCCCAGCAAATCCTTAACAGTTAAACCAAGGCCATACAAAAAATTTTGATCGTGAAAAATCATACCTTAACATCACCATTTTCACTCAGTAAAATGTTTGCCGCTGCAAAGTAAAATTAAAATCTTTCATTAATTAGACTAACGTAGAACTCTTTAAACTCCGCTTATTTTTCTTTTCCATTTTCCCCTTGCAGGGGAGGTAGGAGAGCTAGGAGTGGACTTTATCACCATCCCATGGTTGATAAGAAGTTAACTTTTACAAAGTCATTGAATTGTGAAGGAGAAAGAAAACCTTTAATGTCCCTGTGAATTTTTCCTTCACTGTGCAAATAATCAATTGCATGCAGCAAATCCCGTAGAATGCATGCAATTGACATTTCATCAAGAGGTGGCCCAGACTGCAGCTGCAGAACCATAGTTTGTTGCAAGTTTTATAAGAAAACCAAAATATTTGAAGTTGTTGCAATAAATACATGGCATAGTGAATTAAAAATCAAATACAGACATAACTATATTGACAAGAGAGGAACCAAATAAACTGCCTAGTTCACTGTATAGAAATTTCTTCAACACTCTTACTAGAGTTTCCAAGAGAAATTTGACGTATTGTAATTATATAGAAGCATCAACCATGCCATGAAGAATTTCTCACCTACCATAGTTTTTTAGTGGTGTTAAAAAAACCTAATGACCCAAGCCCCAAGGAGCAGCCCTGTCAGCCAAAGCTCGTGGTCTATGAGTAGCACCTACCCAGAGGTCGCATGTTTGAATCTTTGGGTGAGTTTAATAAAGAAAACCATTGATGTCTCCAAAGTTTGGGCCTTGGGATGAGCATGGACTTTTTCTAAAAAACGCTAATGACCCAAATGATTATGTCAACTCAACCAAAATTCTGCAGATTGGGTGGGGATCAAATAAATTGAAATATTAAGAATTTATTTGGTCCATGGATAATTCCAAGATTAATTTGGGTTAAACCAAATTAACCTGAACTTATTATTAATTACAAAGATATTGGCTTTACTTGCAGTAAAATGACCTAGGCACATATTTGTTTGAATTTTATTTCGTTCAATGAGTAAATAAATGCTTAACCCAAATAAATCTAGCCCCAACATTCCATCTAGATATAGGGTATTTTAGTTGGACAGAATCTACAAAGTCCCTTAAACTCAGCCTAATCTAAGTATGTCTAATTCATATTCCATAAGATCAAACCAGAGAATAAAACTTCTTTTTTACTTCTCCCAAAAACAACCAGCATATCCTTCAACTTGCTTTAAAAGTTGATCGCACATGAATTATCATTAAATATTAGGGATTTCTGGCACATTAGAGAAAGAGAAGTATATGTCAGTTACGTTAGAAATTTGAACTCGAGAAGGAAAATATTAAACCAACTCTGGTATTAACAGAGTTATCAATCCTGTCATTAGTGGACATGATTCAGATACTTAAAACAGAAGTAGTTTTGTGAGTCCCCCTATAGTTAGTATGCATGCTATAAGGGGTAGAACTGTAAATTCCCCAGTTGACTAACCCCCATGTTCTCGTATTGTTTATGATCTGTTAGGTGTGGAGCAAGAAGCAGAATACAGACTTACCAGATCTGCAACGGAGCCACCAGCCATATATTCCATTATTATCCATAATTTTGTCTGGTGGAGATAAGAACCATAGTACTCAGTAATGTAGGGCGATCGACATTGTGACAAAACAGAAATTTCCTGGCACAAAACTGAGGTAGATTAGCACCTTAGCATTCAACTAATTCAATTTACTCGCCAGTGAATTTATACCTGTTGAATATCCTCAATTTCATCCTCACTGCAGAAGATCATCCAAAAACAAGCTCAGTCATATCACAGAAAAGAAAGTCCACAAAACATTGACAGGATAGAACCAAATACACGAGTAATATTGAAAAGGGCAATCCATTACTAGAATGCTTTTCAACTACACTCTAGGAAGGCATCATTTCAAAAAGGAAAAGAAGACTCTTTGGGAGAACTTCATCAGAGCCTTTTGCTGAAATGTGTGCCGATAAAGAAATAGAAAATTCTTTCAAGATAAGAAGCCTCCTTTCATAGATTTTTTGATGCTATAGTCAATATGGCTGTATCTTGGTATAGAATCTCTCCCCTTTTCCATCACTATAGCTTTTCTTCCCTCCTTTCAAATTGGAGAGGTCTTTTGTACAGTTGTTCCTCTGGGATTTCCCCCCTTTTTTGTAATATGTAATTTCATACGATAAATGAAATTGTTCCGTTTCCAAAAAATTTACATCTGCTTGAGAAAAAGAAGTAAAATGGAGGTGGTGGAAGAAGAATCATCCCATCCTCCAATGCATAAGGAACCCCAGTTCAAAGATAAAACAAGTAAAAAACACAGCACTTCAGTAGGCTACACGTCTATTATCCAGTAAAAGTGTTACACATGCAAGATAATGTAAAATTAACAACGCGAAAATATTTTATAGCCAATAAAGTCACCCATGACATTATTAACAATTCCTAGAAAGCTTCATCTACAAGAACTAATTTCAACCATATTTTCAATCATTTAACACTTTTCTGAACTCCATCCTTTGGTAGCTATTGGTGTAAACGCAACCTTCTCCAACTACAGTCTTAATATTCTTTTGGCAGTACGAAGATCTTTTTCTAATTCCTTCTGGCTTAAGGATTGCTCGTATTTTGTAATTTCAAGTACCCTTAAAAAGGACATAATCGTTGCAAATCCTTTGAGGAGGCTAAAAGGTATAATCATATCATTGCTGAGCTTGCAGTGACCAATAATTTGTTGTCAGTAGTATAAATAATCATAATATGATTATAACACACACAAACTGTCAAGTACGTAGAAAGCAAAATTGGAAAGCTGTAATGTAATGATGCAACACTAACCAACTGGAAAAGCAAATAACAAGATAAATAAAGTCATCCCAAAACTAAAAGCTAAATAAATGAGGATCATACCATTCCTCATTTCACATTAGTAAACTGTTATTTAATAATAACCTCACCAATGTAGCAAAGAATGCGGTAAAAGTTTGTGCCACACTACCATTTTAATGATTATATTATTTTTTTTTAGTCGAACAAAAACTAAGGTAGCTCATCACGTTCTTCATTGTTAACACAAGAGCTCTAAATATGAGTTTCATCATGAACGTCAGTGATAAATATAGAGCAACCTCTGTACTTACGATTCTTCCAAATCAATAACTTTGATAGCAACTTCTTTGTTAAGCTCCTTGTCAAACCTACAAATGCAAAAAGGCATCAGGAAACTAGATCAACGAGCAGTTCCAGTCCATTTTTCTGATTGATATAGAAGAAACAGCATGGTAACTCACTCCCCACCCAATCCCCACCCCAAAAAAAATGAAGGACCCAAGACCGGCACCTTAGGTTACAGAAAGGATAACTGAACTTTTTAGTAAAAAAATATTTTCTTCAACTTTAATTGAAACTAAAGTAAAAATGATGCAGCTGAGAAGGATAGACCCTAAAATCTGGGGAATAATGCACTCCAATGCTTGTTGAACACATCAAATATTCTTTTAGCACAATAGAGTATGCGTGACACCAACTATAAAGAGTGAATCTAAGTTCAACACTTGTTAAGCATAAATATCGGACAAAAATTATATATTTGGAGAGCGGAACGCATAGAGCACATATGTTTTATGCGTATCTATGCATAAGCTTATTGAGCTCAAACTTCCTTCTTGTATAATAATTCTATATCTTTTCAAAGGTATGTTTTTAATAAATGTTTCCTTGCCTTGTCCTGGTTCTAGTTTTATAAAAAATGATGTGTCGCCTGATATATGAGTCGTGTGCGTATCCACATTTCTTAGTGATATAGCATAGAAGTGTATACTTAACTAAATCACACTAGAGCAAAGATCACACTAGAACAAATTTCAACGAACTGAATCAATTCAATAGTACCAGAATTGAAGCTTACCCCTTGTAGACATCACCAAAAGATCCTCTTCCAATGAGCTCCAAAGAACTAAACCTTGCTGCCACTGCCTCTGCTATACTCGCCACATCAGCCATTTTGTGCTAGCAACCTTTTTCACCTTTCACCCACTTTGCACACGCTATATTGCCAAACTAAACCACGGTTTAAGACCAGCTGAACCATCTCATCTCCAGATTTCCTTCATTTTCTTAAGAAAAATCCAACAACCAACCTCAAATTCACGACCAAAGTTTGTCTTCACCAATCCCAACTGTAACCTCGAATATCAAATCTGGAATAGCATTTGAAGAACACCAAAGAAAAAACAAAATTATCCACACCAACCAAACCCATGAATTTGACAACGAAACAGAATCCAGATTCACGAAAAGAACAATTGACATTAGCATAAGATAATGCGCAGCAGCCCTTGAACCCGAAGTAAAGCAAGTGGGTCTCAACAAAACATACGACGGGTTGGAGGAGCTAAGATACGCAATGGCGACAGGCCAACATAACGAGAAACACCGAGCAAAATAAAGTCAACATCGAAAGATAACCAACAACAGAGGAGTGGCTTCGAAATGAGGCCTCCAATTTAAGAAATTCAATTGCAATATCCATTTGTTCACGGATTGAGATTCAGAGACTTACCCAAGAATGCGATTCAAAACAATATCACAAGGAACTGATTTCTTCTGAGCAAGAACACCATGGATCTCTTCCTCTTCGCAATCAAAGAGAAATTTTGTTGGATTCAATGGAACTACCCTTCGCTCTTCATTTTCTTCCCTCTCTCTTTATCGCACTTCGCAATAATTCTACAGGAAAAAATTGTACGTAAATGAAATTGAAAAAAAACATGGATGGGATTATCAGAGTAAAACTCACCGTTTCATGAATAGTTTTTTTTTTTTTTTTAAATTTTTAATTTCATGTTTATGTTTTTATAAATTTTGATTTAATATTATGATTTTGACTTGATTGCATGATGGGATCATTCATTAAACATCCGTATATTATGTACTCGTTGGTTTGCTTTAATTTAAATTAATATATAGTTTTATATGCTTCAATTGATTTTTATAATACATTGGATTATACCGTTACTTTATTATTCTTATATGCCGACACTCGCATATAAGTACACGATACATCATATATTTAAATGACAGTTTGTTTTGTAACGGCTCAAGCTCACTACTTCTAAATTTTCCCTCGAAGTTTTTAAAATCGGTCTGCTAGGGAGAGGATTCCACACTCTTATAAATAAAAAATGATTCGTTCCTCCTCTCCAACTGATGTGGGATCTCATAATCCACTCCTCTTCTGGCCATGTGTCTCTTATTGGCACACTGCCCGGTGTCCACCCCCTTCGGAGTTCAGCGTCCTCGCTAACATACTATCCAGCGTCTGACTCTAATACCATTTACTAGTCTACAAATGAAAATCCAAAGAGGACAATATCTGCTAGCAGTGGACTTGGGTTGTTACACTTACTTAGCTAGCTATGCTAATTATATGTAGCCTAGGGTTGAGTAGATTCGGGATGGAATTGGAAAACCAGTTCCAACAACTATTTCCACCCGACAGAGGGTGAATGTAGGTGGAGGCTAGACCGCTTGGTTCGAGGACCCGTTGGTCAAAGGAAATGGGAGGTCCTAATGCCAATGAGTGTGTTGTATACTCTTGAACTCCAGAAGCATTGTCGCCCTGGTCTCTTTCGCCTACGACTACTTAGAATGCTCATCCTATCGATTCAGAGTCATAGGTATTCCCTCTCCTACAACACACTCGTCGAGACGAAAGAAACCTCCTGCCATAGATAAGAGATATCGACGTCTGGGTACCCTTGATCACCCTTTCCTTTCACCTGAACTGGCTGAGAGAGATTAACCCGTAGGTGAACAAAAGATGTTTCCTATAGCGATATTCAATTTAAGGACTATCAACAAGCGTAACTTAATGGATAAGATATTTATCTATTAGTATAAGATCGACGAACTTTAACGAATAAAAAAAAATATATTAAACCCCTCGAACCACGACTATATTGAAACTAAAGACCACTAGACTATAATAAACCCCTCGAACCACTAGACTATATTGAAACTAAAGACCACTAGACTATATTACATTCTACTTATTTTTTTAATACAATAATTTATTTTTAAAAAAAAATTATTTGAAGAACGTTTTTAAAATTACAATTTATGATACAGGTAAATTAGAGTTTTAATATTTGAAATTATATTTCTTGAAAAATAAAACCATAATGTTTATTATTATTAATTATTATTTTAATAAACAATTTCTACTGCAATTATTGCTACGGCTTAGAAGACTCAAAAGCAGCCCAATTCGAAAATCGATTTGGGCCATTAAGAGTATCATTGGGCTTAATAGGCCCATTAAATTCATTTTCGGTATAATTTAAATAAATTTTGTCACTTCTCATTTAAAATTCTTTTATTTTTGAATTTAAATTTTTAAAAAATTATCTTAATTTGGTCGCGATAATAATAATAATAATAATAAAAGGATTAACGTTATAATTAAGAATTTATCAAATTAATT